CTTGGCAGCCCCTGCTGATGCATGCTGAGCACCTTGCTCTGGTAGAGAAGCTCACTCTCCTTTCCGCGTGCTCAGGTGGGAGCAGACACACAGTCGCATGTGGCTCACACTGAAGGAAGGGCGACCGGGCTGTCCCCTGAGACACGAGAGCAGGGTTCATGCCAGAAACCCGGGGCTCAGAAATGGGGCCTTCTGATTTTGATGCGGTGACCTGGCTGGGACGGGCAGCCAGGAAGGTTTCTGTGAGTCTGACTGGAGTTTGCCAGGCTTGAACAAGTGGAAGCGCAGGGAGAAGCAGGCAGCAGTTTCTCGGTTGTGGCTGGTCGTGTTGAGGGGCCTGGGAGGGTGGCAGGGGCTGTGTGGGGAAGGTCGGGTTGTTGTGCTGGGGGTGTTTTTTTCTCTCTCCTGAAGATACCAGTAAGCAAAGAAGTGACATCAGATCTGGGGTAGGAAGATCAGTTGGCAGCTTAGGAAGTGAAACTGGTGGGTCCAGTGTGATAACAGGGGACCAGCCCCAAGGCTGTTGCACATTTTCAGCTGAGAATGCTGAGCAGCTGCAGGGAGAGGGGTGATTGGTGGGTCTGGACACATGGGTGACAGGGGGTGGGGTGGGTGGGGGGGAGAGGTGCATGAAGAAAAACTGATGAGGAGCCCTGAAAAGTGGCCTGGGCTTGTGGGGAACCTGGGGGGCTTCAGTGTCTGTAGCTAAAGTGCTGGGAGTCCCGGACTGGGCTGCCTGGGTGGGGTGGTGGAGGTGTTAGGGGTCAGGGGATGCAGTGATCAGGGGAGCTGAGCATGCTCCCCAGTGCGAGTCAGATGCAAATGAAGTGCCAGCACTTGTCCTCTTTGGAGGATGGACACCCGCTCCCCTTGGCTCCTTGTCATTGACATGCCCCCCAGGACAGTTTCAGGTTGAGTGTCCCTGGGAGTGGCCTGGGATCAGCACCCCTCCTGGGGAAGCTTGGGGTCTGAGCCATGCGGGCCCCAGCTCAGGTGTGGTGCTGTGAAGGCCGGGCACACCAGTCTACAGGTTTCTTGATCATTTTGCATCAAACTCACTTCAGGGATACTCAGCCATTGGGCTAATTATACCCCTCCCCTCCCTGTTTCCCAGTGACAATTAAACAGGCAACGTTTCATTGATTGGGGCTTAGCTTTAGCTTTTCTACAAACAAAACCACCACAATCATATATGGCCTGATATCAGTCACCGAATTACTGATTCCTGACTTAACATAAAACGAATGCTTATGTGAAAATTTAACGTATTGCGAGAATATTTATTTTGAGTGCCTAAACTATCCATTTCCTGTTCAGTGTTAAGGAAAATTGGTCTTTATTATTCCAGGGAAATGTCAAGATCACTAAGTATCGTAGCATTTTGACCTGTGTTATGTTGAACAAACTCTCCACATGTTTCTCATAAAAATATACATCAGAGATGGCTTCAAACTGAATGTCAAACTTAGTTAAAGGTACAAACCTCTTCAAAGTTATTATGAATATCAGATAGAACAATCAAAAGCACATCAGCATGAGCTGGCTTTTTCCTCGAGGCTGCCTCCCGCTGATGGATTTAGCAACTTTGTGAGTGTTATTCTAAATGATGGAAGTTTGGTCGTCAAAATGACCTCCCCTGGCTGTTGGCTGGAATTTTGGAGAAACTCCATTTCCACCAGTTTTTTTTTTTTTAATGTCTATAAGCACTTATAAAAACATTAAAAAAAAAATGATGCCCTATCTCTTGCTTGACCTGTGTGATGATTACCTGGGCATATACACATATAAGAATTTATCAAACTAAATACTTTTCTGTGTGGAAGTTATGCTTCAATTAAATATAAATGAATGCATATTTTCATATTCCAGGGACTGTCAGCAAGAATAATTTTTATAAAAGTTCTTCCTAGTGAGAGACTGACAAGGATTAAGTGTTTGTGGATTGCTAGTTAGTTGTTTAAATATCTTAGCTCCATAACCTGGTAGCCTACATGCTGTGTTTTGGGGTTTGGTTCCTTGATGTCTTTTTGTAGGACCCTAAGGAAATTAAGTGCCCACTTGGCGAGGGACCATCACTCCTGGTGTTATCTTGGCGAGGCTGGGAATGGGAAGGGCAGGTTAGGGAAAGGTAGGGTTCTGGGTGGGCAATTGGCCACTCTGTTTCAAAAGCATTGTTGTGATTTGTGGCTCCTGTATTGTTTGGAGTAGAAGTAATTGTTAATGTCCAAAATGGATTTAATAGGTGTTTTGTTGCTTTAAACAGTTTCAGAGCTCAATGGTGTGGAAGGAGATTACCTTCTAGAAAACAAACAGATATATATATATATATATATATATATATATATATTAAAGATTTATTTATTTGTGAATACAGAACTGGGGCACAGGCCAGAGGTGCAGGGGCAGTGAGAGGCTTCACCAGAGACAGAGTGGGGAGCGGTGTGGAAGGAGATTACCTTCTAGAAAACAAACAGATATATATATATATATTAAAGATTTATTTATTTGTGAATACAGAACTGGGGCACAGGCCAGAGGTGCAGGGGCAGTGAGAGGCTTCACCAGAGACAGAGAGGGGAGCAGAACAGGCCAACTGACGAAGTACACTGCTGAGGGGAGCAGCGGGCGGGTCAGGAGAGGTCTGCAAAGCCACATGTGGATCACCACGCTGCATGTGGATCACCTCCGGGGCAGGCGGTGATGGAACTCTTGGGGAAGTGGCTTTAGCTTCTTAGTGCTGTGCTTTATTTAACGCACTGCGCCACCATGGAGGGCCCCAAACTGATTATTTTTAAGGGGTAAGCTCCAGAAAGAGTAAAGGTTTTTATGTTTCCAGGTCACTGATAATTTGTATACTTGATGGTCACTTAAGGCCTGGTTTTCTCTAGAATCTTCTTTTGGGCAAATCCCAAGTGTCACTTGTTTAAGACAGTGTGGTATGGTAGTTAAGACTGAGAGCCGGGGGCCCAGCTGCCTCGGCTCAGACCCCTGTTCCTCCGTGGACATTGAAATGTAGGAAACTTTAATGTGAATAATAGCTGATGATCTGTCCTAGGACAGATTGAGCTGAAGAAGCACTTGGGAAAGTTATTAGGACAGAGTAGGCATGACAAAAAAGTCAGAGACTAGGTTTTTCTGCCAACAAGTATCATAATAAAAGACCTTTTATGCCTAGGTAGGTCTAGATACACAGACTGAGTCTAATGCTTCCAGTAGCCAACTAAGGAAAACGAACCACTGCAAGTAACACCTACAGAGGGGGAGAGATCTACTTCTGTGGAATTCTTTTGACTCCTTCCCTAGCCAAACCTATTAATTCCTTAAAAGCTTTAGTATCCGATAGAATGAGGACACCATAAAAACTTTTAAAAATATCAGGCTGGGCATATCAATATTTATTGAAATACTGAAAAAAAAATCCATTTTGTTGAGAAATTCCTGGCAAGAACTGACATGACAATATGTATTTCACTGATACAGTAAGAAAACGTCAACAAGTAACCGACTTCACACTCTAAACATCGCGGGGGTCAGACCCAAGGTGGCCGCTGAAGATCTGCCATACAAATACCCAGACATGACAGCTTCTATGTTTACAAACACAGATCAACTATAATTAACCAGGCTAAGCCAAAAACCTTATATTTGAGTCTGCTTTCACTAATAAATCCTGTTGTTGATAAGGCAGTTGCTAAGGAAAAGTCTGGTTACAAACAGGTTAACAATTAACACGAGAGCGATTTTATTTGCCAGCTTTGGATGAACACAGACACTCTCTGTGGCCTGTCCCTGCTTATCAGCTTCTGTGATGTCACCAGCAACATGGGTGTCACTCTGTGTTGCCTGTCACCCTAACTGTTCACATAGTGTAATCGCTAGGTTGGCATTAGAACCAATAGTTGATCTTTTAAAGGTTTACTTTTCAGTGGGGCTACTGTGTATTTAAAATAAGAAAACCTGGACATTCAGAATCAATATATTTGGGATTTTTTTCCATGTTAAAGGCCTTAAAGTAAGTAGCCCCGTAATCTCTCCGTTGCTCCCACCTGCATCCCACCTGGGCCCATTTCACTGCTGACAGTACATCCTCTCTGTGGGAGTCTTCTAGCCAACTTGGCCGTGAGAAGGGAGAGCAGTGACCTGCCATTCTGTTAACACAGTGGCTCTGGACGCCAACCCGCTGTTTCCCATAGTCCTTTGAGTTGGGAAGATAGCACTAGTGAGACTTTGCATTGGGAGCTGTCAAAGCCCAGCTAATGTGTACCCTTCAAGTGGACAAGTATTAGAGGTGATTATTAAAAATTAAAAATATTAAAATAATCCTCTTTGTACACACAGAAGTAATAACTAATATCTTTGGTATACAACTTACAATGCTTGGAAAGGAAAACCAGTTAAGATTCCACCCTTGTTAAGCTTACTTGAAAACGGAGGAAAGCTACGAGTCACATAATTTACAATAGATATTAAATAAACTACAGTGAGACTGATGAAGATTTACAGACATTTAATCAAGTGAATGATTTTAATTCATGAAGACCTTTCTATGTTCCTGAACTATGCTCACTAGCTTGAAGACATGCTACTTTAAACACATATATTTGGTTTCTTCAGTCTTGGCTATATCTTATACAAAGGTGAAACCAAGGAACAATAAATTAGCATCATAATTGTCTACAGTTGAAACTATGATGTACAATATAAATAAACTATTCAAAAGCTAGAAACATTTATGAAAAAAATTAAGGGACTATCTCCAAGATACGTTTATTTTTTACAAGTGATTGTGCCGCCAATAATCTCAAAAAAAAAAAAAAAAAGGTCTAAATGAGATTCCTGGTCTTGATTTTAGTGTCTCACGACATACAATAATTAAGTACTGTTAAAAATAATTACCAATCAGAAAAATAACATTAAGGAAATTACTGCTTAGCTATTTTGTAATATTACAGCTCCCCCTCCCCCCCACAGGACCTAAAGAATGTAAACACTATGTTTTATTTGACTTTAAAGTTTTAATACTTTATTTTAAACAAATGTTGTTCTACATCTGCACAGCTATCTTTTAGATTTGTGAAATAAGGCAAGACTTCCATACCTGTGGCATTGCGTGTTAATAATACTGATATTGTCATTTGGAGAGTTTGTTTTGCAATTATTTGTCCTGCAATGTTTGTTCTACAGCAGACTTTGGTCTATGGCTTAGAAAGGTCAGTATCGCTCTCTTCCTTTCCCTTTTGCAGAAGATTTGAATTTCTCGAAAGTCTTTCCAGGCCATATATAAAAGCCATCATTGCTCTTCTGTGTTCGGGGGGTGTTCAGTCTCAACAAGAGCGAACTTTACCCATCAGCCCATCAGCTCATCCTTCTTTTTGCATAGCTTAACATGCTTCAGTTTTGATTTAAACTACTTAGCACTGTGACTATTTGACATCCCAGCAAACTATGCTTAATGTTTTATATTTAAATGAACAACAAACTTTGATGGTTAAAAAGACGGATGTATCCTACCTAACAAGCCACGTGGCCAGAAATGGTGATGAGATCCGACAATGCCAAAGCCACATTTCAGTAACAGCAGAAATAAGGTCTAACTTGCTTTAGCTATGGAGCACTTGCTTAAGTTTGTAGTCATTTCCGTTAATAGTAAGTGATGCTTATATAAGATCAGAAGAGGGATACTGCCTGCTTTTTAAAAAACATTATGAACACATGACAAAACAAACCAGAACAAATTTTAAATGGCAAGCTAACATATTCGTAGACTGTTCTTATTAGCTGTTTGCAGGTCTAAGACACAGACATTCAAAATTAGACTTTTCATGATTTGTGGAGCTACTAGTAGGTGTGGCTAAGCACAAGTCCTTAGGACAGATTCCATGATCACGGGCAGAAGGTGCTGGGTCCTTGCAAGGAAGAGGGAAAGACTATTAGAGGTGCAGCTGATGGATCTGGAGAATTGTTTCAGTTCAGTTTTACCATGGAGGAATTCTTTAAGCTCAATTCTCCTGCTGTGTAAGCTTAATTAACAACAGAAATCAGTCCCTAAATTTCTTCACAGCGGAGATCAGTTTTACACATACAGAAATTGTTCTGTCCATTTTTCATTCTGACACGGTGTCCATATCTATCTGTGAGTTCAGTCCATTCCATGACAATGTCTTTTATAAGGAATCCTTTGGGGATGTGAAACCTTTGATTCACAGTTTGCAATACAAATACCCTGATACATCATTTATTTGCTATTAAGTACTTGATTATTATGCCTTTTTAAATTCAATATCTTTAAACCAAGTTTTTAATTAGTGTCCCTCGGAGCAGTTCAGAGTATTTTTGTTGCCATTTCTCTTTCTTCTTGTCCTCCCGCGCCAATCTCTTTTTGTTTTGAAAGCAGAGATCTAGGGTTGCGACTTAAGCTCTTTTTGCATGCAACATCTCAATGAGGAGGTTATTATAGGGCACATCCCCGTTCAGGTGCTTGTAGTAGAGGTATTCTTCAGCCTGCATGCTGATGGCCCGGATTTCTGGTAGCCGAAGAAGGAGCTGCCCGAATTTCTCCGTTTGCTGTGGATAGTTGCACATTGTATAGTCCAGCAGGGCAGCGTTCACTTGCTCCTGGACACCTTCGACCAACTGTAAATTTTCCAGGTTTTTGACATCTGGATTAAAAAAAAGAAAGGCATGATATTTCAATGGCTTTTTAATTCCTGTTTACCACAGCAGTGTGTTCAATTAATGGATGTATTTTCCTCCTGACATAAAGCATACTTTATGCTGCTGAATATTCAGTAAGCCCCACTCACCAAGCTTCCTGGGAAAATGATCACAAAAGAGCTTTAGAAGGAGGTCTTGTTGAAATTCTGCATATACCTCAAATCAATTAGACACCAATGGATTTTGAGCAAGGTCAACTCTTTTCATATCATAAAAAGGAAAGGTTTGAGGATTCCTAAAGTAGAGGGATCATAATATATTGTCAGCAAATGAGTCCCTAGAGGAAGACCTATCTTAACCCAGTATATTACACAATTCATATAATTCTGTATTAATTTTTCTGACCCAAGGTGAAATCTGTGTCCAGGGTCTGATGTAGTTAATTCTAATAAAAAGTGACAGGGTTCTTGTTTCTGTTTGACATTTTTTAAATGATTCTGAAAGCCTTTGACTTGTCTAGCCTATGCTAATGAACCATCTGGTACACTCCAGTGACTGCCAACGGAGTATTCGCTACTGGGACTGCTAAAATATATATCTCAGTGACTAATGATCTTTATCAAATGAAAGCCTTGTCCTTTTGGCAGAATACAGTCCAGGATGGTCAGTGCCCTTTAACCTGCATGTGGTCTCTAATGTCTGCTCCTACTCTTTTTTCGTCTGGACCTGGGTGGTTCATCAAAACAAGGGATAAGGCAATTTGTTCTGCCCAACTCCTGATTTCTCATCCAGTTGTTTTAAGGCATCTGTCCTAAGGTGCTTATAAATATTGAATGAAAGAAACAGAGTAAAAATAAGACAGACTGACCTACAAATACACACACACACACACACACACACACAGGGTATGCTGGAATTGCTCTTCTGGAGTTTATTTATGTTAACTGTACAACTTTTAACAATGTGTGTATGGAAGCCCCCGGAAACAAATATACAGATATGTGTGTGTATTTACATACATCCAGGCTAAAAGAGTAAACAGATGCAGCCATCCCTATCTCCAGCTTTATTTTATATTCAGTCAAAAATAAACAAGAGCAATAATGAAGAAAGCCACGTAATACTGTAACTAAAAGGGTAAATGTAATAGATTTAGTTAGTGGTTGCCATGGAGACTCATGTCCAGTATTTTGGGCACTATATGCTTTATCCTTCTCCTACACATACATGTATGTCCATTTGGGGATCTCGAAATGTTCTTACAGTAAGGCTGTGGTACATTTGCTGTTAAACTGTGTCCAGGATGATTTCAGCGTTTACATTTTGAGCCCTAACTTAGCATTAGAAGTGATTTCCACATACCACCCTGAAATCTCTGTTTCAAATGAAAAGGAGTAAGAGTTAGTAGTGAAATAAATACAGCACAAGTGCCAGATAGCACATCCATTTCAAAGTGAGATGGGAGAACCAAGCATATTTAGTTACTCATGAATGAGGTGTGCAAGCATACAAAAGTTACACTTCTTTGCAGCCCTACCTTTTCTGGTAGCGCCTAAACTGACAGCTAAGTTACTGCCTACTTGCCATTTTATACACGCCACACTCATGGTTAATAAATTGCTTTCCATCTATCTTATTTAAGATAGTTTTTAGCTTATTTAAAAATGTTTGTAAACATGGTGGTGGATCCAAATTTACAATGGCGTCAACAATCACAAAAAGTAAACAACTGGAAATACCTTTGACCTGGATCCATCAGCTCTTCCCTGTGCTGAATGTCACACGTAGTCAGCTCACACTCTCACTACGGATATGAGCCCTTCATAAAGCATCACAGCACAAAGCAAGTGTGGTTAACATCTAGTTCATCTGAATTTGAACAACTTTCTCAGTGCAGTGTCTTTTTACCCTCCACACAACTTGGATCGGACTAGGGAATTGAAAACGAAAACAGGCGACCACCAGTGTTATTGTGATTGGAGTTGAATTACAGAAAAATTCAATTCAAAGTGGAGTATTTCATGCTACAGTGCAAGATATTCTCACAAGCAAGAAAAAGCTAGCAATCATCACAGAGATTTACAGAGAGGATGCAGGTCCGAGCACAGTATAAAGGTAAAATAAATGAAGAATAGTCTTTTTAGAAAGTTGGTTTTGAAATTTTCTTTTTCTGATGCATTTTTTTTTGAGAATTAGGTCCCCATTCTGTGATGAGTTATGACACTCTGTTGAAAAACAACAACAAACTACCAATAGTATAAGACAAAGGCTAGATCACAAGTTTTGGTGTATTTGCTTTCTGTTACTACAGAGTGATCACTTATAGTCTTCAGATCAGCATTTATTAGATAATTTCTATGAATACTGGCCAAAAGTGGTATCTTCTCCCCTCTCCCCCAAGTTAAAAATATATAAATACATGCAGCTTTCTTTTGGTCAGGAAACCATACAGGTTTCCTCTTATTTTGGCTGTAAGTATAATTTTTCTCTAAAGTTGAACAGAGTTGAATTCACGTGACAAAATTTATTATCCCATTAAGCCATCTCTATGAATTCATCATTAAACGCAACACAAGCAATATGGCTAGAATTGCCCTAAAGATGCTTACTTGCTGAATGTCTATTTTGTTTCTAAGTCTATACAGGCAATCTATAAGTAGTTTGTTGCCAGTAGTCCTGATATTTAAGCTATAAGATTAAAAAAGGAAAGAAAAAGATTTTGATTGAATTACTCTCATTTATTCACCAAATAGTCCCTGGATCATTGCTCTGCTGACTGGCTCTTTTCAGTGCCTTTTCCTTGTGCCTGTGCTGCCTTATTAACTGTCCTTTTCCTCTGTGGAGGCTGGCAGCCCGTTGGGGCGAGACCGAGGCATAGTCAAGGCATCCTAGAAACTCCTCCAGTTAACACTTGCTTTGTATTATTGATGTATGTATCCAAGATTAATGCAGTTGTGAAATGATCTACTCCATGAACTCTGAGGGATCTTCTAAGTCAATTTTTTTTTCCTAGTCAGAAATGGACTTGCAAAAATTTGATTTAGTTCATCATTTCACAATATATGTAAATAAAACCATCACACAGTGATGTGTGCAATTATCCCTCAGTAAAACTCGAGGGGAAAAAAAAAAGAAAAAATGACTTACACAATAGACAACTCTCTGAAATCAAGTGTATTAAATGTAATGTTGTTTTCTGTTCAAAGACTCCAGGGCTCCTTTTGTGATCTGAATAATCACCACCTTAGTTTACTTTACATGTTTTGCCAGTTTAGATTTTCCCTGGTCAGTTTTACTTTTAGGGAAAACATGCACATGTTCTCTTCCGGATTCAGAATCAGGCCTTGGGCGCAGTCCTGTGTCTCTTGTGCGACTGGTCTAACAGGCAGACCTGGGTGTCCCAGGCAGACCTGGGTGGGGCTTTTAAGCCCCAGAGAAGAAAAGAGCTAAAGGCAGAAGACACCACCTTGATGACAACTTAGAACTGTTTAATGTGACTCGCTTGGATTTACTCTTTAGGAAAAGTCCAGACATTTAGGAAGAATCCACAGTAATCGTGGCATTAATTTTTAGGTGAATTCATGAAGATCTAACCATGAAACACATTAAAAAATTTTTTTAATTTTTTTTTTTTTTAAGATTTATTTGTGTATACAGAACTGGGGTACAGGCCAGAGGCTCAGGGGCAGCGAGAGGCTTCACCAGAGACAGAATGGGGAACAGAACAGGCAGATCGACGAAGTACACTGCTGAGGGGAGCAGTGGGCGGGTCAGGAGAGGTCTGCCACGCCATGTGGTCACCTCCGGGGCAGGCGGGGATCGAACTCATGAGGAAGTGGCTTTAGTTTCTCAGTGCTGCACTTTAAGCCACCAGGGAGGGCGGAAACACATTTAAAATTTTATTCACTGCCTCTGGGAGGTCTGCCCTCCAATTCAACCCCACAATGTGAGGAAAGGGAACTGGCATATCCTCAGGAACTGGTAGCACCAGAAATCCACAAATGAATTGCTGTTAAATTCGACGCGAAAACAAAATCTGGACAAATTCTACCTGTTCTGGAGTCCTCAGAAAAAGGTTTTCGAGACTTGTGCTGCAGTTTCCATATTAAACAACTTTGCATCCCATTTGGATTTGGAAAGAGGCAAAATTCCCACCAGTTCTTCTGCAGCATTAGATGTTGGGCTTCTTACGTGTTCCTTTGCAATGATGTAAACTTCACCTTGGTACATTTTAAAAGTACTAGTTCTGACTTGGGCCCTCCACGTCCACAGAAGCCAGGCTTCCTCCCCGGCCCTTATGCGCTAATGACTCGTCAAAGCATTTTGTGCTTCTCCTGTAAGTATCAATCTCTTCTCATCTATTCTGCTGTATTCACTCAGGGACTAATTACAACATTTTATATGAAGCAGCATTATGATAAGCTCACAGCGGGCACTCCGACTCTCCCGTCCTCATTGGCAAGTAAACCCTCAGGTCTCCTTGAATATATCACTTGCTTGTCAGGTGTGCACACACCGCTCTCTGAGGAGGGAGGTGCTGATTTCAACCTCCCTAGAACCTCCACGAGGCACAGCCTCTAAAGCTCTGTGTTCAGGACGCGTTCTTCAGAGACGGGTCCTTTGCTAAGCAAGGGGACAAGGGGACAGGTGGACTGTGCTGTCCAGCACTGAAAAGGTCATTTTGTTTGTTAATTTCCCTCACATGGGAGTGATCACATTTTGTCCTTTAAAAGACATGAAAGAAGGAAAAAGGCATCTGTGGCGCCTAAGGAATACGTCTTTTACTTGAAGTTTTTGGAGGAACGCCTATCTGCAAATGGGGACAATTTGTCCTCAGAAGATCTTTTCCTTTGATAAGTCAGAAAAGGAGGCAGGGAATATATTTTTATAAGGAACTAATTTTTTAAAGATTTACTTATTTATGCATACAAAAACTGGGGTACAGGCCAGAGATGCAGGGGGTGAGAGGATTCACCAGAGGTAGAGCAGGAGCAGAACAGGCAGC